ATATATATATATATATATATATATATATATATATATACGAACACACCGGTTGATGGTGACCGACCAGGGGATGGGACACCCGGCCGGGAAATCGGGACGGGGAAACAACAGCCGGCACCCATCTTCGATATATACATATATATATATAGGAAGTCTAGCGCGCCGAGGGGTCTGTATCCATCCTTTCGTATGCAGCATTGTTCCCCCCACCTCCGCGCCTTGCGAGAACCCCCACCAGCATCTCAAGGACGTTGTTCCCGCCACGCATTGCGTCTGCCACGTCACCGATCTTCGCCGCTATCGCCGAGCCTGCCTCCGACGTTGCCTTCGCCAGAGTGGCAGCAGCCTTGTCCAAACCCTCGTCGTACGACCGTGTCGCGTCCTCCATCGCCCTGCTCAATGTTGTCCCACCGCTCATCGTGTCGTCCATCCTGCTTTTGCCGGTGTTCGTCCTCCGGATCTTCGCAGCTTGGTTCGAATCTTCCGTAGCTTTGCCGTCGGAAGCACTCCTCCCCGACGACAGCTGTGCTGGACCGCCGCTCGTCAAATTCCCCCCCGCGTTGCCTGGCAGGTTCTCGGATGCCAGCGTTTTGTCACACTTGATGGATGGTCGATTGAGTTTCCACTCCATCGCTTCCCACAAAGGTTTCTCAAAGCCTAGTGGCACCAGCTCCGCCTTCCGCTCCTCAAGGGTCATGTCCCAGTACGAAGGTTTCCCCGAAGCATTCTCACACTTGTCGAGAATCAACTTCGCCGCCGCTAGCATGCCCTGCCACTTCTTACGACAATCCTCCGCCGACCTGTACTAAAACCCCTGCTCCGCCATCCGATCGTGCACCCACTCATATCGGTCCTTACTCCTCTTGAACCGATGCTGCCCGTCAGCGTCGGCCATAAGGGCGTCGTCCTCGGCCATCAATCTGGACAGCGCGATCCTCTCATCTAAGGTCCAGGGGATGTTTTGCTTCTTGTTTTTCGCAGCACCATCTTTGCCACCCTGTTTGTTTGCACGCTTGCTGCTTTGGGGCCCAACCACATTCTCGCCCCCATCTCTCTGCCCAACACTAGCATTGTCCCCATCCTCTTGCGCGTTGTCAGAGTTTTGCCCATCAATGTCACCGCCATCACCTTCGACCTCATCGTCGCCAACCAACTCATCTTCCTCGCCACCGAAGGAGGGACCTTGCAAGCCGCCGGCCGATGCAGTTGCGTTGTGGACAGGCCACCCCTCCTCCATATCCTCTACTTGCACATCTCCCATCGAAGATGATGGCTCGGCAGCAGACCGCGTCACCGACATGGGCGAGGGAGCGGACAACCCGGCATGCATGGCATGCGACGGTTGTCGGCATTGCGGGGACCACTGCCACTCGTCCCTCATCACTCCGCCCCTTTCCACAGTGTGCTGGGTGGGGTACACTTGCGGAGCAATGCCATATCCACCGCCGCCCGGAACATGTGCAGAGAAGGCATGCCATACCCTTCTCCAAACTGTGTGGAAAACGACGTTTGGCCCGTGTGCATGGGGCCCCCGTGCACACTTTCTGCACTTGGTCGAACAACGAACCGCCGACGTGCATCTTCCGCATGATGGGGAGATGGAGAGGGCACACGAGCACAAGGCGCTTGAATCGGCCCCGCACGCACAACCTCCTGCATCTGCCCGCTGAAGGATTGCATACTTGCCACCGAAGGCGAGGAGTAGTGGACAGATCTTTCATGTCGCATGTCGTGGGTCTAGAATCCCCCACCATTGCCTGCACAGGGATCTGCCGTCGACCGGTACGACTCCATTTGGCTGCAGAAGATATATACACGGAGGCAACACCTTCAAGCACGCAATGCGCCCTCGAACAACAATGCTTCGCTGCTTATTTCCACCGATGACAGCACAAGTATATGAGTGCACACCAGAAAACGACGGACAAGACGAAAGCTGTGGAAAGGAGGATAGCGACGGCAAGCAGGCCTGTGATAACAACCAAAGATGGTTTTTTTCGTCGGCCGCATCCGCCGCAGTGGTTGTTTATGATAACATCCACGCAACAATGACAATGGCAGCGGTCACATCCACACGGCCGACTATGGCGTTCGACGACCGACACGTGGCGAGTGTGTGGATGAGGACTTATGACCACATCGTCATGTGCAGCCCATCCCTGCCTACATGTCCCGGGGTTGCTCTCCGGCGAGGACAAACGACCACCCTGCCGAGGCAAACAAAGAAGGGAGGATGGCAAGGGAGGCACACGACGGAGCACGACATGTGCAATGGCAACCACAGGGGAGGTCAGCATTGGACGACATGTGTGCGCGCGGGAAGGTAGTGAGAGCGGCGGGGCCGGATTGTGCGTTCTACGGACACTGCTCGGCACAACGTCAGGACGCTCGAAATGCAAGCCCCAGCCGGACAACGCTTGCCGACGCCACCAGAGATGGCTTCCCCGTTGGCAGGCCAGGGAACCAGCTCGCACGAAGGAGAGAAGCGATGGCATAACGCCGGTGAGAAACGACGGAGGGTTTACTGGACGTATCGACGACGGCGACGTGAGGGTGTCACTGCCGATGCTTCTGCCACTGAACTCGCACGACATGAAGCGACTGCATGGCTGGCCTATGTCGTGAGCCCGCCAAAAATTTCGAATTTGAAATGCTGCGTCGTGCCGTTCGCAAACCGAGGGTAGCACGGAGGGCCCAGACCCCCCTCGGGCCCCGGTGGGAACCGTGCGACGCGAGAAAATGAAGAGCATGTCCGCGCCGGCGTACTGGTCCACAAAACGGTCCACGGTGACGGTCCGTGGTTCGCGCCGTCTGGCCGTTTTCTGGAAACTCGTTTCCATGCCCCCCCCCCTACTCGTCTGGAGCAGTCCTTGGAAACTGTTTGGAAACTCGTTGCCACAAATTTCCAGGCCGCGAGCCGAGTAGAAACGCCCCGTCAGCTTTTCCACGACCTCTTTCCAAACGCAGTGGGGTCCGAAATTCCTTTCCGGGCCGACTTTCCACGACGGTTTCCAACACCTGTGGGGTCTGAAAGAGCCTTCCTCGGAAACAAGTTTCCAGGCCCCCGGCCAGTGGGGTCCAAGCCTAAGCTGGCTGATGCTGTCAGACTCTCATCCGGGTTGAATTGTGAGGTCCCCGGCCTCAAAGGTTCACTTTTTGCAATGAATGGGATTATTTTGTAAAAAAAAAAAAAAAAAAAAAAAAAAAAGATTCGACAGGTGATTGAGAATTAACCTTTCATCTGAATGCATCCCTTTGAGTCGAACTTGGGTCTGTACTCCGACAGTTCATGGGTGTACCAACTGAGAGGCCCGTTGGTTTCAGAATCGTTTTAACTTCAGTCGTCTAGTGTGACCTGGGTTCGAGCTCAACTCGGTATACAACAGTTCATCGGCGCACCAACTTCGCTAGGCAGGTTGGCAAAAGGAGGGAGTTTCTGCTGGAGTGCGGGACGGCGGTTCGAATCGCGCCGCGACCGCATGTTTGATTTCATTGTGCTTCTCGCTTGCCTTGGAAGAATTTGCATTTCTGCGCCCGATCTGCGCACGCTGGGCACGCACCTCAAGCTACGGGATCATCAGGATTACCACGTGTGCACCGAGACGGGCGTGCATCGGCTTGAGCGTGCACGGCTACGGGTATGGACAAGGTGAAGCTTTGATGGGAGTTCGTTCTCAAACCATGTGAAGACGAGGCGACGACGACGACGACGACGGCGAAGAAGAAGAGAGGATGGCGAGGGTGACCAGCGATTGGGTTGAATGAAAGAGAGGCGTTGAGTACCTTGAGAGTGCTTGCTGTTCGTGCTGCGAGCAGATGGAAAGAATCTGAGCTCTCGCGCGCGCGTGTGTGTGCGTGTGTTTGTGTGTGTGTGTGTGTGTGTGTGTGTGTGTGTGTGAGAGAGAGAGAGAGAGAGAGAGAGAGAGAGAGAGAGAGAGAGAGAGAGAGAGCTAAGTTTACCTATGATGGACGATTCAACATATCGGGGAAAACAGATGGTCTGGTGTCCCCCTCTCAACCCTTCCCTCCTCAGTTCTACCTCTCGCAGTGTGCGCGTGTTGTTGGGGTGTTGCGGCCGCTGCTGATGGCCATGCGCCTGTGCGGCGGGGCCTATTATGGACCTATCGTGTACGTTCGGGATTTTAGGTGAGAACTCATGCGCCCACTTTTCCGACGGAATCTGGCCGTAACCCCGGTGGGATGCATCCAGGAAAGCTTCCAGTGTGAGGGTGCCCTTCTGGGCTTTCGGAGGTTGGTCGTGCCTGCAAGGAGGACCTGTTTTTTCTCAGTCTGGCTATCTCGAGCAGGGAGGAGCATAATTACGAGGGGGTTGCCCTGCCTGGGCTGTCCGTTCCATTCGGTTTTGACTTACCCGTGGGAGCATCTTACCGGTCATGAACCTGGACTTAGGCTGGCAGCATTTCGTTGCAGGGATGCGCTGGTGTTGGCGGCGCACTGCTTGATCCGTCTTTTGGCGTCTGCTTTTCCCTACCTCTCCAAGCTCGTCGACGTCGTCGCCATCTTGGCGACCTCGGAAGCTCCAAGTGTGAACGGTCCGGTCTTGGCTGTCGCCGCCATGTCCAGCCGTCCTTAGTAGTAGAGCGATGAGGGTTTGCTTGAGCGGTGGCGGCGGCGGCAGCGCTGCCGCTACTGCTGCAGTGGGGATGCCATCAGCAGCGGCAGCATCTTTGTCCACGGCAGACGTTGGGTTTGGCAGAGGCTCGGGGGTTGACAGAGAACACGGGGAGCGTCGTTATGCTGACACAGTTTGCGACCGTCAATCGCGGGCGGCGATGTCGGTGGCGGGATGGGCGCCACCTCAACGTGTGTCGCGCTTCCTACCAGCTGGGGGAAACCTCCACGCAGCGGCGGCGGCGGACTTCGCCTCCGCGACTGGAGCAGCAGCTGGCGTGAGCGACGATCGGCCGCGCAGCAGCTGGTCGTCGGCCGCTTTCCGGGGAGATCTCTGTCATTGGCTGTTAGCGGCGCCGCCTAGGGGTATCAGTGGCGGGGGCGGCGGCGGCGGCGTCGCTTTGCGGACTACTCCGAGTTTCTCCCGACGGCGCAAACTCCATGACTGTGCCGGGCTTCGTGCTCGTTGTCGGCTGTCCCCTGGTAATGGCCATGCTGATCACTACTCCCTGGCTGCTGCACGTGCCTACGGCGACACGCCGTCTCCCGATGCAGAGCATGATGTCGGCTCGCAATTTACCCCGGTTGTGTGCGATACACCGTTCGACCGAGAATCCGTCAACGACGCCGAGGAGCACCCGACGGGTGCCGAACGCACCTCCCGGCAAGGACTGGACTGGCCGGGTGAGCAAGCGGAGAGAGCTCTGACCGTGAATGTGGCGTGGCTCTCCGGAATGCAGCACGGCATCCTTCACGGGGATGAATGGCCTGCGAAAAGGGAGGTGGCGTGGGAAGAAGAACAACAACGATTTACTGTGGAAGAAGAAGCCTCAGCAGCAGTAGCAGCGACTCCGATGAGCAGGAGAGAGGTAGGAGAGGAGGAGCGTCAGGGGGTCTGGAACAGATCCTTCAATCAGAAGTACCGTCCACGGAAGCTGAGGGAACTGGTTGGCCAAGCGCGAGTTGCTGAAGCTCTTTCCAGCGCATTAGCGTTGGAGCGGATTGCTCCCGCGTACATCTTCTCCGGCCCTCGAGGAACGGGAAAAACATCTGCGGCTCGGATCTTTGCTGCCGCTCTCAATTGCTTAGAAGACCTCAGCAGCAATAGCGATGGCGTTGGGGATCGGCGGCGGCGAGGAAGAGAGCCTTGCGGGCAATGCAGCCAGTGCATTTCGACCTTGCGCGGAACCAACGTGGACGTGAGGGAGATCGATGCCGCGACGCATAATGGAGTCGAGAGCATCCGGGAACTTCTCTCCTCTGTGAGGCTCTCGCCCGTCTGCTCGTCTGTCAAGTACAAGGTCTACGTGATAGACGAGTGCCACATGTTGAGCTCCGAGGCGGCCAACGCGCTGTTGAAGACGCTGGAGGAGGCGCCGGCTATGGCGGTTTTCATATTGGTGACGACGGACCCTCAGCGCCTTCCGCCGACCGTTCTGTCTCGCTGCCTTCGATTTCCCTTCCACAGGATCGGCGTGCAGGATATGGTGAGCAGGCTTGCCGACGTGGCAAGGCGGGAAGGGGTGGCAGTTCAGCCCGACGCTCTTCGCTTGATGGCAGCTTACGCGGACGGGGCTCTCCGCGACGGAGAGACGATCCTGGAGCAGATGTCGCTCCTGCAGGGTGCCTGCAGCAGCGCGCGTGGCGGCGGGGAGGTCACAACGGCGATGGTGAGAGAGTTTCTTGGAGTTGTGGGTGAGGAGGAGGTTTGCGAGCTGCTAACCAGCGTGGCTTTGGCCGACCAGTTCCCTGAGATATCCCTAGCTCGAATCCGGAACATGACGGAGACGAGGGCCGAGCCGGCAGCGATCGTTTCTCAGCTTGCGGCGCTCATAACTGATCTGCTCGCCTCGCGCTGTGAGGCGGCTGCTGCTGTTGGGGGAGGAGGCGATCCGCAGTCATCCCACGCGCAAGCGCTGCACGGGGCAAAAGGTGCCGAGGAGGTTGCGGGACATGGCGGTCAACTGAAGGGCGGATTGATCGAGTTGGCGAGAACTCCCGACGGTCTCGTTCTGCTTCGGCAGATGCTCGGGAAACTCGCGGAAGTAGAAAAGCAGCTCAGGGCGGCGGGAAATCCGCAGCTTTGGCTTGAGGTCGGACTGCTTAGTCTTGCTGAGAGCAAGATTTCACAGAATGCGAGGGATCTTCTGATTCCTTTGTCCACTTTCTCCTGCGACAGGATGCTTCCGCCTACTGGGCCCCTGTCAATGGGAACTGCGATTGCCGGTGCCACGCTATGCGAGGGGGGGAGCTCGGCGGAAGGCGCAGGCGAAGTAATAGCTACTGCTGACGACTACGCCTCAAGATCGGCGAAGGTTCAGGACGAATATGGGGATGCCATAAGGACTGGCAGAGCGGCCAAGGCTGGTAGCCTCTTGTCAGAGGTGGCCCTGCCTGCGCCGAAGGCGGAGGAGGCTGTGGAATCTTCTGCCTCACCTTCTCTTTCCTCTTCTCCTACTTCTCCTTCGTCTCCTTCTCTTTCTTCATCTTCGAGGGGAGAACTTAGTTCGTCGGTTTCCTCGGCGGAAAGAAGAGAGCGAGGAGCTGCAAGCCTAGAGATGGGAAAACGGGGTAGACTCGGAGCCTCGAAAGCGATGGACGATGAGGACCCAGATGTCGATGTGCAGGAGAGGAGTAGAACGGTTTCGTTTTCCTCGGCGGAGAAGGTGGTGGTAAGTCGCCCCGCGGTGCGAAAGAAGGGGAGCGGAGACGAGATGTATGGGGACTCGCCTCGGGCAAGAGATGGAGCGATTGGGGAAGATGCACTGCGGAGACTAACTGGAGGGAGCGAGCCCAGTGGAGAAAATGAAGATGGCGAGCGTGACGGGAGAAGAAGCAGAAGAGGAGGGCTCAGATCTGGTGGCATGGAAGAAGTAGCAGACGAAGTTATCACGGCGGTTTCTCAAGCCCGCGAGGAGGGAGACAATATACAAGAAACGGTAAGGGCCTTGCCACTGGACAAGTTATGGGAGGATGTCATCGGCAAAGTCAAGCTCAAGACTGTCAGAATGCTGCTGGAAAATCGTGGCCGTCTGGAATCTTTCTCACAGGATGGAGGTGAGTTACAGAATTGCTCTGTTGGATAGCTAGCTAGCTACCTNAGAATGCTGCTGGAAAATCGTGGCCGTCTGGAATCTTTCTCACAGGATGGAGGTGAGTTACAGAATTGCTCTGTTGGATAGCTAGCTAGCTACCTACCTGCCTATCAATCAATCAATCCATGGGCTAATTAATCAATCAGTCTATGAATCAATCAATCGCTCAATTAACTAATCAATCAATCAATCAATCTATCAATCAACTAATCAATCAATCAATCAATCAATCAATCAATCAATCAATCAAATAATCAATGTATATTACTCAGTCAATCAATTAATCGATCGATCAATCAATTCATTAGTCGGTTAGTCAATCAATCAGCCAGTCAATCAATCAAATCAATCAAATCAATCAAATCAATCAATCTATCAATCAAATCAATCAATCAGTCAATCAATCAAATCAATCAATCTATCAATCAAATCGATCGATCAATCAATCAAATCAATCAATCTATCAATCAAATCGATCGATCAATCAATCAATCAATCAATCAATCAATCAAATCAATCAATCTATCAATCTATCAATCAAATCAATGTA